ACTTTCTCCCTTCTCTGATCTGACACCTCTCTCCCCTCATTAGTTAACTCCTCTAACGGTCTCTCCTCCCCTTGAGACCCCCCCAGTCCTTCCGCGAGACTGTCTTTCTCCACTTTCTCCTCACGCGTCTCGGTTCCTTGCTCTTTTGTTCTTTTTATTTCTCCTTTCTCTCCTTTTTCCGTGGTCTTACTTGTTTGATCTAGGCTTTATTCATGAGGGGATGGCTCACTCCTGGTCCTATCCTCACACACCCCCTCCCTTGAGTGGGCCCTCCTCTCGACGTCCACCTCTTCTTCTATACCCTGTCGGGAAAAATAATCTGCGTCAATATGATTTTTACCCTTCCTATATTGGACCTGGAAAGCAAATGTTTGTAGACTCAGGTACCATCTAGTTAACCTAGGATTAGAGTCTTTCATCCTACTCAACCATTGTAATGGGGTGTGGTCAGTTACTAACACAAATGGTGCCCCTAATAAATAATATTTAAACATTTGAATGGCCCATTTTATGGCTAACGCTTCCTTTTCAATGCTAGTGTACCGTCTTTCCCTATCACTTAATTTCTTACTGATGTACATGATGGGATACTCTATCTGGTTTTTCTCTTGAGTAAGTACAGCTCCAATTCCGCTTTCAGACACATCTGTTTGTACGATAAATGTTAACTGGAAATCGGGTGCATGCCTATGTGGCAACTCTTTCAATATGTCTTTTAATTCACAGAAAGCTTCCTGTTCAGTTTTCCCCCAATTAATCCATTTACTCTTCTTCTTTTTTATCAAATCAGTTAATGCAGCCGTCACCTGAGAATAGTTGGGAATAAATTGCCTATAATACCCAGCTAGTCCGAGAAATTGTTGTACTTCCTTCTTAGTTTTTGGGATGGGCCACTTCACTATCTCATCTACTTTTTCCACGCTCTATCATGAATCCCAAAAATTTTATTCCTCCCCTGGCAATCTTACATTTCGTTGGGCTAACTTTTAAGTTTGCCTTTCTTAATTCCTCTAATACTCTCTTCAAGTGGTTCACATGTTCTTCAAATTTTTTACTGTACATTAATATATCATCTATATAAGCGGCAGCAAACTCCTTGACAGGTTGCTTGCTCTTTTCTTCTTTTTATTTCTCCTTCCTCTCCTTTTTCCGCAGTCTTACTTGTTTGATCTAGGCTATATTCATGAGGGGACGCCTCACTCTTGATCCTGTCCTCACAATATCTTATATCATTGTTATATTTAAAATTGTTTTATTTTATATGTTGTACGCCGCCCAGAGTAGTCTATTGACTAGATGGGTGGGATATAAATTAAATAAATAAATAAATAAATAAGTAAGTAAGTAAGTAAGTAAGTAAGTAAGTAAGTAAGTAAGTAAGTAAGTAAGTAAGTAAGTAAGTAAGTCAGAATTGCCATATAGCGAACCTAGCAGGGCTGTCATAGTAACAAAGATATTTAAGGGGTGGTTTAACCTGTTCCAACACCCCTTCATGAATCTCCATGACAGAGTAGGGATTTGAACCTAGGTCTCTTGAATCCTAGTCCATCACTCTGTCCACTACACTAGCCATTCTCAATGGGGGCCATTTGACTCCTGGGGGGGAGAGCTGGCACATTTGAAGGACACAGACTGTAAAGAATTCTTCACACACCACCTTATAAGGTTCACTATGCAATCCTGATTTGGTCTAAATTTATTTCATACTGTGTTTATGGCTGTGGCAAAAAAAAAAAAACACTGCACAGTTACAAATGGCTGCACTACACCACACTGGATAACAAAGATCAAGGTAATCCTAAGCAATTTGCAACATCCCTATGTTGGTAAGAGCTTGGATACAACACAAAATCAACACCTAATGTCAGTGCAGGAGGCCCCTCAGCCCTCTTACCTAGCTAGGGTAACTTGTTATGACTAGTAATATAAACAGAGTAAATAACTAGCAGCCTTTACATTATACCATGAATCGGCTGTCTGAAGTAGCCATCTCATACTGCTTAATGGTAGAGTCACCTTTGCTTCATTCAAGTCTTACTGAGGCAGAAGAATGTCCCAAGGATTGGGTCTATACATATTTCAGCTATTATAAATATGGTTTTCCATGCAGATTCCTGTGGTCTGTACGTAATCCATACTGTTCTCTACAAATTACATCAAAAACTGTGTTTTTGTCCTCAGTGGCTGAAATCCTGTGGCATAGGCATCCTTCAGTCCCGAGAGACTATGGTAACGTTGACAGAGGTGCTGCGTTACCAGACTACGCCAGGGGGCATAATGGTGAAGTGAACTGCTCAGAGATGAAACCAAACAGACTCTGTTGTAGTGTTGATAGTATTATTTACAATAAAGTCCATATATACAGGGGTAAATACAACTTCTCTTGGTCTTTATACAGTCCTGGTCATTCACAGTAGTTCTTCAGTTTGCAATAGTAAATTTACAGTTTCAGTAACCAAAGATTGTTACCAATATAAATAGTCCAGCATCCACAAAGTCTTCTCCTCTCACCACGGAGATAGTCTTCCTCCAGGACCTTCTTCTTGCAATGCAGCAAGTCTTCATCCAGCGATGCAGTATATACAGCTCTCAACAACACGACCACCAGCAACACAACAATCCAACCACTCAAACTACCCAAACTACCCAACAATTTGTCTCTGCAAGCTTGGCTAGTTTTATTCTTGGTTGAACCAATCAAATTGGTTGTCCCACAGCTGTCTCCATTAACTCAGCTGTGTTACTTTGTTACATGTTGCTTAACTAAATCCTGATTCTGTTACAACTTATACACTGAATTGCAATGAACAATTCCCTAGGTTGACTTTGAGACCTGTCAAACGTGCTCTGAATGGAGATTTTGCTGGTTTCGGGACTGCCTCTTTGCCTCGGCCTGCGACAAGGGTCTCTTCAAAATGGGAGAGGCCATGATGCACCGCCTGCCTCCCGGCTGAACACTCAGATGTCAAGGTTTCCCATCTGTTGAGGTCCATTCCTAAGGCCTTCAAATCCTGCTGTCAGATATCCTTGTATCGCAGCTGTAGTCTCCCTCTGGGGCGCTTTCCCTACACCAATTCTCTATACAGGAGATCTTTTGGAATCCGACCATCAACCATTCTCACGACATGCCCAAGCCAACGTAGACGTCGCTGTTTCAGTAATGTATACATGCTAACAATTCCAGCTCGGTCTAGGACTACTCTGTTTGGACCTTTTTCCTGCCAGGCGATGCCAAAAATGTGTCAGGGGTAATGCATATGGAAGGTACTGTATTCAGCTTCCTCTCCTGCTGTGCACAAAGGGTCCAGGACTCGCTGCTGTACAGGAGTGTGCTCAGGACACAGGCTCTATAGACTTGGATCTTGATATATGCTGTGAGCTTCTTATTAAGCCATACTCTCTTTGTGAGTCTAGAGAATGTGGTAGCTGCTTTGCCAATGCATTTATCCAGCTTGACACCTAGGGAGAGAGTGTCAGAGATCATTGAGCCAAGGTACACAAAGTCATGAAGAACCTCCAATTCTTGCATGGATATGGTAATAGAGGGAGGTGAGTCCACACACTGGCCCATGACTTGTGTTTTCTCCAGGCTGATTGTTAATCCAAAGTGTTGGCATGCCTTGCTAAAACGATTCGTAAGTTGTTGGAGGTCTTCAGCAGAGTGGGCAACAATGGCTGCATCGTCTGCAAAGAGGAAGTCCTGCATGCATTTCAGCTGGACTTTGTTCTTCGCTCTCAATCTAGAGAGATTAAAGAGCTTTCCATCTGATCTAGTCCAGAGATAGACATTCCTAGGTACAAACTGTGCAGTCGAAAGGGTGGAATGGACAGCATTCTCTCCTGTGGGAAAATTTATATTTGCAGACTATAGTTCCCAGAACCTCTCAGCAACATTATCAGTCAAGCTGGCTGATAGATTCTAGAAGTTGCAACAATAATAGTGGTGTGCTGCCAAGTCAATTCTGACTTGCGGTTATCTTTTCCAGGGTTTTCTAGGTAGAGAGTACTCAGGAGTGGTTTGCCATTCCCTTCTTCTGGGGGCATCCTGGCACTTTAACAACTTGTCCAAGGTCACTCAGGCTGCTCTTTAGGGATGCACAGAGGGGAACTGAACTCCAGACTTCAGCCAGAAACCTAACTCACTGAGCTATCCAGCCACCCCAAATAATTGTGTTTTTATCATCTCAGTTCTGAAAGTTTAAGTACTGAGTACAGTACTCAGAATTGGTTTACTGTTCCCTTCTTTTTTTCTGGCAAAGATTTTATCAAGGAAGCTGAAGAGAACAAAGAAGCAGACTGCAAGCTAAATTGGATGGGAAGACGAGCAGAGAGCCGAGTTTGAACTCTGTAGACCAGAGCTATTTTAAAAATTTGGCTTTTTTAAAATATATATATACTGTATATAGTGCATCTCATTTACTTTCACTTTTTTATTTCAAAAAGTTCAGTAAAGTCCATTTGTAGCCTGGATTATCTGGAAGCACGAACTAGGAATGGAAAATCTGGACATATGGTCTAGTTATATATTGTTATGGTTTTGTCTTTGTGAGTCTAGAGAATGTGGTAGCTGCTTTGCCAATGCATTTATCCAGCTTTGGCTTTTTTAAAATATATATATACTGTATATAGTGCATCTCATTTACTTTCACTTTTTTATTTCAAAAAGTTCAGTAAAATCCATTTGTAGCCTGGATTATCAGGAAGCACGAACTAGTAATGGAAAATCTGGACATATGGTCTAGTAATATATTGTTATGGTTTTTAAGGCTGCCGATGATTTTGCGAGGACCAAAGAACCTTCTGCGCCAGAGCTCCCCGTCACTGGGATGGACGGATGCGCCCAATGAAAACCAGCAGTCAGGAGTCTCTTTTTGACCACTTCTGTGGCTTCTCCTTTTCTGGGGGCGGCCCGGGATAGTTTCGATTCGTCTACGCGATCATAGTAATAGCCAATCGCAACGTTCCTTTCTCTTTTTTCAACAAAGGGGCGGAGCTTGTGAGTCAGCAACGGGAGAGGCGCCGGGAAACTTTTAGGCTAGTTCATTCCAGTGGGCGGTCAGAGAGTTTAGTGCTGGAGAGGAAAAACGATGGTCGATTATGATGATTATTAGTAGTACTAGTATTACTTTAGGGAGGCATTCCGTGTGTGTTATTTATGCATTTTTTGTTTAAATTAAATTATATATTTATTTTTTAAAATACGATTTCAACTAGGGAGAATTATCCGCCCCTTGTCCGGCTTCCTCCTCCCCCCCTTCTTCTGCGGCGTAAGGTGAGTAGGACAGGAGTAAGGGAACTGGGCTTACTGGGAATGGGGGTCCTTCATCACTAAGCCCGTGTAGGATGGGTCGGTCGGTTTCTTTCTTTCTTTCTTTCTTTCTTTCTTTCTTTCTTTCTTTCTTTCTTTGAGGTTGCCAACGTTGAAAGTCGAGGAGCGTGCCTGCCAAGGAGGGCAAGTCTGGGCATGCACCTAAAAGTTGGAAGCGGGTATCAGCATTCGGGCTGGAGTATACTCGACTTTTTAATAACGTACCCACAAATCTAAAGCCCCGAAGTCCACTAACTGGAACCGAAGGGAAAAACTGTGGGTTAGTGTCAAGTTACATACATATTCCGGCTTCTGAAGATCTCAGTACTCCTCTTTTCCCATTCTTTTTCTTTCTGGTCCTCACGACACGCTTGTAGGGTAGGCTCAGCTGAGAGACAGTGCTGGCCTCTGATGATGCTGTGAATTGAGGGATGTTTTGAACCCAGGTCTGCCCAGTTCTTGCCCACCACTGTACTGTGATCAGAGATGCCAACACAGAGCAGAGCCCAAAAGAAAAGTGACAAGTTACCCCCTCGTAGTCATAATCATCATGTGCCATCAAAATCATTTCTGACTTTTGGTGAGCCTTTTCAGGATTTCCCAGGTAGATAGTGATCAGGGGAATTGAGGGATGTTTTGAACCCAGGTCTGCCCAGTTCTTGCCCACCACTGTACTGTGATCAGAGATGCCAACACAGAGCAGAGCCCAAAAGAAAAGTGACAAGTTACCCCCTCGTAGTCATAATCATCATGTGCCATCAAAATCATTTCTGACTTTTGGTGAGCCTTTTCAGGATTTCCCAGGTAGATAGTGATCACAGGTGTTTTACCATTCCCTTCTGGGGGCACCCTGGGACGGTGCAGCTTGCCCAAGGCTAGGTAGGTTGGCTCTTCAGGGAAGCACAGTGGAGAACTGAATTCCCAGCCTCTGGCTCTGCAGCCACATACTTATCAAATTTATTCAGCCAGGTTACCAGTTATCCCTAGCATAGGGTGTATTTCTTTGCTATTTCGCTTGCCTTTGTGGACTGAATGGGCATCATCAAAGCTTACAGATAAACAATTATACCCTGTTTCCCCGAAAATAAGCCCTAACCTGAAAATAAGCCCTAGTAGGATTTTTAAAGATGTTCATAATATAAGCCCTACCGCCAAAATTAAGCCCCAGTTAGGTGAAACCCCACCCTCCACTATTGTGCAGCAACCAGAAGAAGATGACGTGACTATATTTGACTAAATGTAGATGGTTGTACATAAAAAAAAAAATCACCTGAAAATAAGCCCTAATGTGTTTTTGGAGCAAAAATTAATATCAGACCCTGTCTTATTTTTTGGGAAACAAGGTAGTCAGAAATCTGCTAATACATTGCTATCCACCTTTTGTCCATCCCCATAGTTTATCGTTAGGCTGGTCAGTTATCAAAGTAGTGAGGTGCTTCCTCCTTTCCCCTGAACTTTAGCTTCCATCCTTGCCCTGTCCATCAGAAGGAGGAGGATCAGGTAGACAATTTCTGAGTATTTTATACCTGGAGAACTCTGGGAAGGCATTGTGGAGCACCACATAAAAGCCTGTTTCTGTGGAGGCGTCAGGCCTGTTCCAGTAAAGAGCTTGTTTGAATGTCTGTTTTACTTTAAGTCATCTGAATTTTTTCAGGCCTTTTTAAGGTACAGCTCATAAATTCAATGAACATGTTGGCATATATAACATTTTGGAAATTTAATATTTAAATGAATGACTGAATAAATGAATGTGTCCCTCTTTGGCCGTACTCTTCCTTGATCTTCCATACTCAGCTTAACGTTTGCCTCTTCACTACTATTCTTTTCCAGTTCTTGTTTCCACCTTTCCATCTCAGCAAATATTCATAAATTAAGACCGTAGATAGTATTTGGAGGGCATGAGTGAGAGATGTGGCTCTCCAGATTCTTTGGTGCGCAGTTGCTCATGATTGGCCATATTTGCGATAGTTGACAGGAGTTGCTGGCTGAAACATTTGGATGGTCAAATAACATGCATTCATCTGACTTTCTGCTTAGAAAGGTGGCTTACATCATTAAAAACACAATAGTAAACACGAAAACCTGCAACTTATTAAAATATTTTTTAAAATTAATAACATTATGTTAAAAATATTAGGTAAAAGCATACCTAAAAACAGATTTATGCACTCCAGATGTGTGGAAACTAGAACCATCAATTCCAGCCAGTGTCTTAAGTTGCCATGCTGGGGATAATGTCGTTTCTAGTCCAGTACACCTGTTGGACACCATTTTGGGAAAATCTGCTACTTTGCAACAGGATGGATTTTATTTAATTCAAATTAATCAGAACTGAAAAATCAAATGCTTTTGATAATTTAAATAAAAATAAATAAATCGCGATTTAAATTGCAATTTAAATCAGTTTGATTTTTAAAAAAGATTATTGACTTTATCCATCCTGCTTTGCAATGGCAGGGGTGAATGCCATCATCCCTCATCTTCGTAGGTCAATGTCTGACAGTAAGCATTTATTCTAAACTAAGTCTTATATTTCAGATGATTGAAACACGTTCAACAGGTGAGGCTCAGGAATTGCTGGACCAGCTGAATGTGTTACTGGAGCAGGAGTTACGGTGTCAGCCAAAGGTCTCTGGCCTGAGAATAATCGAATCAGCTCATGATAATGGCCTCCGGATGACGATGAGGTTGCGAGACTTTGAAGTGAAAGACCTGCTGAGTTTAATTCAGTTCTTTGGCTTTGGCACAGAGACATTTTCTCTTGCTGTGAATTTCTTAGACAGGTTTTTATCAAAAATGAAGGTAAGTCTTGAGACTATTAAGTTGCATGCCTTTGTGTAAGGCTTCCCAAGTATAGAGATTGTTAAATCATCTGCTGTGGAGAAGTGTTGCATTTTGTAATCTGGCATGGGGTTATGCCACGCAAATCTTCTTACCTGGAATCGAGACCTGAATGATATATTGAATCCAACCTCCTCTGTCATTCAAAAAATGCTGGATGCCTTCAGCATTAAACAGTGTTAAAACAGTTTTTGAGAGGCCTTGCCTATTCTCTGCTGCTCCTCTTGAAAAATAGATACAGGAATGTTGCTTTTTTGGTTCAATAGTAAATGTGTTAACAGCATCAAAATGCCAGATGCAGGGGAGGGGTATCAGGAGAAAGGTATGTAGTTGTCTTGTGTGCTCCCAGAGGTGTTTGGTGGGGCCACTGTGAGATACAGGAAGCTGAGCTAGATGGGCCCTTGGCCTGATCCAGCAGGGCTCTTCTTATGTTCATCTTGAATGTTCACACTAACTTTAAATTGGATTGTCTGTTATCATTGTAAGGGGCTTTTAGACCTTACCTATTTCCTGGAGTGTAGAGGAGTCTTTGGTTGTAGTTTAAATTGAGAATGTTATCATAAAGGGATATCCATATGCGTTGTCACTGATGCATTTTTGGTGTTACCTGGCAGGACAAAGTTCCAACTAGAGTAGTCCTAGAATGAGCTGGAATTGGTAGCATGTATACATTACTGAAGGAAATCAACCCGGAGTGCTCACTGGAAGGACAGATCCTGAAGCTGAGGCTCCAGTACTTTGGCCATCTCATGAGAAGAAAAAACTCCTTGGAAAAGACCTTGATGGTAGGAAAGTGTGAGGGCAAGAGGAGAAGGGGATGACAGAGAATGAGATGGCTGGACGGTGTCTGCGAAGCAACCAACATGAATTTGACACAACTACAGGAGGCAGTGGAGGATAGGAGGGCCTGGCATGCTCTGGTCCATGGGGTGACGAAGAGTCGCACACGACTAAACAACAACAACAATACATTACTGAAACAGCGACGTCTACGTTGGCTCGGGCATGTTGTGAGAATGGCTGACGGTCGGATTGCAAAGGATTTCTTGTATGGAGAATTAGTGGAGGGAAATCGCCCCAGAGGAAGAGCACAGCTAAGATACAGGGATATCTGTAAGTGGGATCTGAAGGCCTTCGGAATGGACCTCAACAGATTGGAAACCTTGACCTCTGAGCATTCAGCCTGGAGGCAGGCGCTGCATCATGGCCTCTCCCAATTTGAACAGACCCTTGTCCAGCAGGCCGAGACAAAGGGGCAGTCCCGAAACCAGCAAAATCAGGGAGATGGACAGGGGACAGATTGTATTTATCTTCAGTGTGAAAGGAATTGTCACTCTCAGATTGGCCTTCTCAGCCACACTAGACGTTGTTCCGAGTCCTCTATTCAGAGCACGTTATCATAGTCTCTCGAGACTGAAGGATGCCTAATCCAAACCTAAAAGGGCACACGCCACAGTCATCACGCAGATTCCTCTGTGTTTATAAATAGGCGTGGTTTTTCTGTTTTGGTCTGAATGCTTAATTGTCCAGTGGTCTGAATAGACTAGATGAAGGTTTTATGTCAGGGCCGCTTGCATCTGTGTAGCTTTACTGAAGAAGCTGCTGTAGGTGTTACTTGATGTTGATGCTGATACCTGTCGTAGACATGCTCTTCCTGTGGAAGTTGCATTAAGAAATTTTATAGAAGAGAGTTCTTGAGAAGGGGCCTTCACTGAAGGGAAACTTGGGTGCCTATTTGAAATGCATTCCAGCCCACAGTATAGGACACTGCTGTTTTCTGGTTTTAATATGCTGGTCTAACTAACAAAGGTGTGGAAAGTCAGCCTTGTGCTGGTTGCCTTGTAGTGGAACCTGGTTGTGTTTTGTCAACCACCTGATGGAGACTCAGGGCTTGTTATTGTAAACTAGCTGCATCCACTGAGTCACTGGCCGTGGAACAAAGTTGTGTTTAGTCCAGAGGCAATTTTCAGATATTAAAGCCGCTCCTCTCTGCACTGTTCTGAGGTTCCGAAAAGCTTCCCCAGATCAAAACGGTTCCCTAGAGGGCCTCAGAATGGATGGAGGGGAGAGAGACAGTCTTAAGTCAAATCAAGTTAAATTTAAGTTAAATGTCATCTGTAGATGACAGTACCAATATTTATGTTGCACAGCTTCACCAAGAGGATTTCAGCCAGGGAGGATTTGATTTAAATCGGATTGATTTAAATCACTTCAGGGTGGATTTTTAAATTTTTAATTGAATTTTTTTTAAAAAAATTAAATCACTGAATTTTATCCACCCTTCAGTGATTGAAACTGTGATTGATATTGCAAATGAAATCAATTTGATTTAAATCAAATCCACCCTGATTTCAGCCATGATTTGGTACTGCACCAGAGCCTTTAGCTTAGAGATAATTGCACATGCAGTTCTGTATTTTTTTAATAATCTGCATGTATGTAAAAGTGATATTCAATTCAGTTTCATTGTGCTTAGACTAGACATTCTGAAATCAATAATTAATGTCCCACTGATTTCTATAAGGCTTCTTTAATCAATTTGAGAATGGTTAGAGTAGCTGGTTTATTTAAGATAGTCCAGTATCTTAACCAACAAAATAAACTAACTCAATACATAAAACCAGAAGTTGAAATGAAATATAGAAAAAATAATTTCATTGCCAGCTACTTTGTAGTCTATATAAGAAGTTACCTGTTTTTAAGTGCATCGTCTTGTGACAAAGAATCAAAACTCTAATTGAATTCAGTAATATTTACTCAACAGTAGACTGAGTTAGGGTTACAGCCTAAAACTGAAATAGCCAAATTGTAGACTTCACTTGAATACATTTCAATGAAAAGATTATACCTTGTTTTTGCTAGGTACAAGCAAAACATTTGGGCTGTGTTGGACTTAGTTGTTTCTATTTGGCGGTGAAAGCAACGGAAGAAGAGAGGAACGTTCCTTTGGCCACTGACTTGATCCGAATCAGTCAATACCGGTTCACAGTTGCTGATCTGATGAGGATGGAAGCAATTCTTCTGGAGAAGCTTGGTGGAAAATTAAAAGCAACAACAGCCTTTCAGTTTCTACAACTTTATCATTCAATCCTGTGTGGCAGCTTGAGCAATGATAGGTAAAGTTTATATTTCAACATGAATTTCGAATTGGTGAATTCTTTATGGCAGGGGAGGCACCAAACAATTGGAGAGGGGGAAGATAATGCATATCTTATAGTTATAGTTAGATATAGCAGTATGTGCTTCCCTCTTCTACCTCCTCTGACTTCTCTCCTCTGCCGCCTTTGGCAGCTGCCCACTTGAGGAGGCAGGGCGGGCAGAGAGGCCCATGGTCAGGGCTTGAAAAATCCACTCGTCTTTGATGAGTGAAAAAATGCTGCTTGACAAGCCACAGCCCCCTCCCTCCTTACCCTCAGTCTGTCTCTTTCTCTGATCCTGCAATGGTCACCTCCCTCTTCCCCTTTGCAAAAGGAAAAACAGCCCTCTTCTTGGAAGAAGAGAGTTCGAGCGGCACATATATAGCTCTGCAGGAGAATGTAGAGTAGTCCCATGCAGGAGAATATGTAGATTCCCTGCTCCCAATTTCAACCAAACAAGGAGGGAACTGTGGCTCCTTAAGAGGCTGGGCACTTTTGCTTTCAGTTAAACTTTTGCTGAAGCCATTCAAAAGAAAGGCATTCAAAATACAAGCTTCATGACCGCACAGGCACGCAGGTAATAAAGCAACCCAAGTCTGAGGGTATATTTATTTTGGGGTTGTATGCATTGTTACGTAGAAAGTGCCTAGTTTTAATTTAAATTTAAGTTTAAACATAAATTGCAAGGCTCTAATCCAGTCATGTTGACTGGTGAAATTTTTGACTGACTGGTGAGACATTCTAAAATTTTTCAAGCCCTGCCCATGGTACTGCTGGTAAGTGGGTGATTGCATGGAGAAGGTGGGGGACAGAAGTGTGTGGCACCTGCAGAACACCTGTACTGGCTCTGCAGCAAACCGGACCGAACTGCCGAATAAGGTTCATGCCCATCTCTAATAGCAACCCTATTAGGGCTTTTGAGGTAAGAGAGAGATTTAAGGAGTGGTTTTACCAGTTCCACTCCCCAAGTAAGTTTCCATGGCTGAGCAGGGATTCAAACCCTGTTTTGCAGAGTAGTATTCTGTTGATGGGTCAGCAAAACCAGATAAGGCATCCATACAATTACAGTGGTGCCCCGCATGACGACGATAATCTGTTCTGGGAAAATCGCTGTTAAGTGAAATCATCGTCATGCGAAAAGCCTTTCCCCATTGAAATGTATTGAAACCCATTTAATGCGTTCCAATGAGGAAATTACCTCGTCGTCCAGCAAAGAGCGTCCATAGGGAAGCCATTTTCCGAGCACCGATCAGCTGTTAAAATGGCTGCCCTGCAAAGCATAGGTCCAGAAAACACAGGGCAGCCATTTTAGTAACCTGGCGATCAGCTGTAAAGATTGTTGTCTTGCAAATAAACGTTCTGTAAAGCACGGACCAAATCGTCGTCAAGTGGAATTTCCCCGTAGGAATGACTGTTTTGCGAATCGCTATAGCGCTCGCAAAAAGTCATCATGCGGTTTCGTCGTACAGTCAGATCGTCATCTAGTGAGGTACCACTGTAGTTTGAGGTAAACTTCAGTCATGGTGCATAAATTAAGTCCAAAGTGCTGATGAACGTAATCGTGAAAGTGGTCAATAACATCTAGCTGTTCTGAGCTAGTGAGGTTGTCTTTGTCTTGTTTTGTATTTTTGCCCAAATATACTACCCACTAAGACCAGGCTTTATGTTTTTGCAGGAAAAATCGTTTCAACTTTGAGAGGCTTGAAGCCCAGCTTAAGGCCTGTCACTGCAGAATGGTTCTTTCTAAAGCAAAGGTAAGGCTGTTAATCAGTGCTTGCAAGAATTATGTAGAGGTGTAACGTAGACCAGCTGTCATCTTAATGGCTTTTTCTGCTCCTCAGCCATCAGTGTTGGCTCTCTCAATAATAGCCCTGGATGCCGAAAAAGAGATACTGCTGGAATTGATGGAAATGATAGAATCTCTCCGTGTGCATTCTAAGGTAGGCTTAAGTTAAATGTTTCTAGGAGAACCCTGGATTTATTTATTTATTTATTAGATTTATACCCCGCCCATCTAGACCAAAGGCATTACAAATTTAAAAACAGTAAAACCAATAAACATGCAATAAATCCAAGATGTTAAAATGTGAATTTAAGATACAGCAGGAGGGAAAGCCTGCCCAAATAGCCAAGACTTAAGTTCAGTTCTGAAGACACCGAGGACGGGAGCCAGGCGGATTTCCACAGGCAAGTTGCTCCAGAGGCGAGGGGCCACTGCCGAGAAGGCCCGGTTCCCCGTTCTTTCCTTCCAGATCTCCCTCGGCGTTAGGCCCCTCAACCGCCTGGCCTAGCTGAGTGACTCTGGCAGAACTGGGTGGGAGAAGGCTCTCTGCCAGATAGCGCGTTCCTAAACCGTTTAGGGCTTTATATGTAATCGTAAGAACTTTGAACTCAACGTGGAAATGAATAGGCAGCCAACTTGGGGAAAATATTTTGGTACCTCCCCCCCCCCCCCAGTTAGAAGTCTGGCCGTCTCTTTGGTCATTTCACAGTCCACAAGGTCACTTGTTTGGCTCCTTAGAGGCATTTTCTTAAATTTGATAGGCATAATGTTTTTGAGGAAAGAGATCATCTAGAAATGTTTAGCATTATTAGAATTACAGCTTGAGGGAATTGTCTATATTTAAGTAGCATGAGATTACACTTGTCTAGAACCAGGGCTTGTCCCTACTGTGTTATGAAGCATGTCTAAAAATATTATATGGTCACTCTAAAAATAAAATCCGTTTCTTACTGAAACTGTGCAGTGCAGTTTGGTTGCTTGCGTTGCTAATGTCAAAAATCTGTGTCAGAGATTGCAGATGCTTCATGATTGGCACAGGAACTTTTGGAGTTCATTCTTTAGAGGAATGTTTATTGCTTGGGGAGTGGAATGGGCATTAAATAGAATGGCTGGCCTCTAGTGATTCTGACCCTCCTGATGTTTTGGACTTGCATCTAGCTGGCCCCCGTGTGCCTACCAGCTGGTGCCAAGCAGCTTTTATCTTCAAGCTTGTCTTCTGCAGATAAACGACCGAGAGCTCTCCATTTGGAAGGAACTTGTATCAAAGTGCCTCTCAGAATATTCGCTAAACAAGTGCTCCAAACCAAATGTTCAGAAGCTAAAATGGATTGTATCCGGTCGCACAGCAAGGCAACTAAAGCACAGTTACTACAGAATTGCCCACCTCCCCACTATTCCAGAAACGGGTCTCTAAATAGTGAGTAATTTTTTAAAAAAAATTGTGCAAAAGTATGCTGTTAATGATTTCAGTAGAATCTATAACTATCTTTGCCTTGTGAGTTTAAGTGAGACAGAAGTGGTTAAAACCTTCTCAGGTTTTTCCAACTGCACATCTGAGGAATGAAGAATCTCATTTTTACCACAAAATTGATTTCTAGGCATTTTCGAAAAGCGTACTCCTGTGAGAAATGTGTCAACTCCATTTTCTTTGTATTTGTTTCTTTTACCCACTGTATGTGGAGGCTGATTTTATGGCGGAAAGATCCTGAGGCAGAAAAGCCAGTGGATGGGAGGGGGCTAGCACAGTCCCCACATTGACTTCATTTAGGGTTTGCAATGCCTAAATAGGGCTGTTGTTGTTACTGGTGGCTCTTGAACAAGGAACCCAAATTTAGCCTCACCCTTGGGTTACTTATTCTAAGGTTGTAGCTGGCATACATTTTGAATTTCTTGCCCTCTTGGTTCTGTGCTGTTGGGTGAGACAACACTTGAGATACTAGCTTAAAAGGCCAGCCCCAGAGAGAGCTGAGCAGTTCCACACACCACCCTGATAGGTTTTACAACATCAGACTCCTAAGTACAGTGGTGCCTCGCATGACGACATTAATTCGTTTAAAATCTCTATCGAACGAAAACGTCGTCATGCAATTTTAAACAGCCCATAGAAACGCATTAAAACCCAATTAATGCGTTCCTAGGGGCTTAAAACTCAACGTTCAGTGAAGATTCTCCATAGCGCGGCCATTTTCGCTGCCTGTGCAGCAATGAATCCATGCCAGAAAACAGCGGGTGACCATATTTTTCACCCGGCGGCCATTTTGAAACCTCCAATCAGCTGGCCGAAAATCATCGCTTTGCGATAACCGGTTAGCGAAACAGGACCAATCATCGCAAAGCGAAATTCCCCCATAGGGAACATCGTTTTGCGATCACTTTTGCGATCACAAAATCTTCGTCGTGATGCGATTTCGTCGTCAAATGGAGCGTTCGTAATGTGAGGCACCACTGTACAGGGTTCCTTTTCTTACCCATCATTCCCCTTCCACTTTTTCTTCTCATATGTTTGCCTGGCCCCAATGTTTATTATATGACATTTATTGATTTCCCTCAAATAATTACCACAGCGTGGCAAATACTACCAGGGAAAGAGGGGACTGAGCGAGTAAATGATGGCAACATGCAGATCCCATACAACAAGATGGTTTAGGGAGTTGACAACATAAGGGAAGTCAGGTTTCTACCACAGAGGGTCCATTTAGTACCACCATGCTACTCACTAAAATCTGGTGCTATTCCCCTAATACTAGAGCCAAGCTAGTCTAGTCTTTCAGTGGCAAAAGAAAGAATGACAAATTTGAGCAGCACAAAATGACTGGATTAAGCAGGGACAAGGCCTCTTAACTTCATAGTAATGTAGTTTTTGACTTAGATTTTCATAGTTATGCTTGTGAACATTTAACACACATTCATGCTCACAAGTGACTTCATGGAAGACTATCATAAAGATGCCCAGTGTGGTGTAGGGGATAGAGTGCTGGACTAGGACTCAGGAAGCCTTGGGTTCTAATCCCCCTCAGTCATGGAAGCTCACTGGGTGAGTGGAACTGGTTAAAACCGCTTCTTAAATGTCTCTTACTTTGAAAGCCCTATTAACGGTGCTGTAAGTGGGTTCCGACTTGACAGCACAGAGCAACAACAAATTCTGTCTTCACAATCGCTTGCCCTTCAGATGTTTTGTACTACAATTCTCTAACATTTTTAGCCTTACTGGCTAAGGCTGGGGGAGTTGAAGTCCAAAACATCTGGAGGGCACCAGGCATGAAAAGCTGGCCTGGACATAAGAATTTTAGCAAAAAAGAAAAAAGGAAAAAAAAAGTTTGTTAGCAGAATAAAGTGTGATAATGTTAACTTTGTATAGACCTTATTACCACTGTCACATTTCATTCATCCAACAATTAATATTTTACTTGGGGTGATACTGATTAGTTCAGATTTACATCATTTTTTTATCTTTACAGTAATTTTTTTTCTTTCTTTGGCTAGAAAGAATATTGGAGAAGAAAGGTTGTGGTACTGACTGGTAACCTGGAAGGTTAGAATTTCATTGCAGTTGGAGATTCTGTTGGTTGCTCCTGACTATACCGGAAGCAAAATTCACTGAAGAATTAACTGATGATCACTTGTCTACTTTAAAGGACCGTACAGCATGTTGAAGTGCAACTGTTTTTAATCCCTCTTGGGGTTTTTTGTAAGGAAGCTGGAGGTGTGCTTACAGAAGAACACAATGGTGTAAAACATAAGATGTGGCAGCTAATATAGTGTTAATATTCTGGCCTGGAAACATTGAAGTACACACGACCAGTTGTGCCTGGTCCCAAACATTTCTGCCTATATAGCACTTACTGGACTAATGGCTGGCTGAAAACAAGTTAAGTGCAGTCTGACAAATGAGTATCTGCTTGGACTAGTGGTGTACCAAAATCCTTCTGTGTACCATATTATTATCAGAGGAGCAAAAGCTTGTATGCTTGTGACTTCTGTAATAGAAATAGTTTCTAACACAAGATAACAGAAGATAAAATTTCCAGCTCAGTCCAAAATTCCATAATTGCTTGGGGGGGGGGAATGTTGTACTTTAGAAGTATGGAACTATATTAAATGTCTTTGTCAGCAACGAATGATACAGAGAATATAGATGCTGGAATTAATGGATGTTGTTCTAGAACTTTAATGTTTTCTATCAAAGTATTAAAACCCATCTCTTCACGTAATTGACAAACATGAATATGGACAAAAGCATAAATGTTATTTTTAAAGAGTTTAAAACTAGACAGCACTGTCAATTTAAGAATTTAGAACATAGAAATAATACTCTTAGATGATGTTCAATAATGTTGAAAAGTAGAAATGCAGGCTGAAGGAATGCACTATACACTGAATTTGGGGGGGGAGGAATTGTGAGATTAGTCACTTGGAACTGAATCCAGATTTAGTTGAACTCAGATACTGCTAGTTTCATCACTGGATTAAGTTATTCATGCCTGGGGTTGAGTCTGATAGATTTAAGAGGGAATGAAGTTCAACTTACTTTGTTTAGATCCAATTCTTTTCTCTGTTAGGTTAAATCTTTTTAAGTCCTTGCTATTATACATTTGTAAGCTAATAATATATTTTTCAATTCAGCATATCCTAGTGAACATACTCCTTTTGGATAGTAGTTTTTATTCTGATTTGCAGTGGGCCATTTAAGTTCACATTGTGGCCTTGAATCTAGACAAGATTTATGAACTGGTTCGATGGAAAGCTGAGGCAGGGAAAGAGCATCATGGTTCTTTTCAATGTGACATACTGTATTGCAATCTTTGGATTAAAATGAGAGGTGCAGCCCACAGCCTCCTGGAGTATGGGATATGACAAAAAATGCTAAACTGCAGTTTTGCCCAATGGCTATGAAGTATAAAGCACTTGTCACCAAGCTGTCAGTAGAATTTCCATCTTAAGCTCTAAGCTACCTTACTGAACTATTGAAGAAACCTTCGTTCCTTCTAGTTGTTTTAACTTCAGCAATGTATTCTGTAACTTGTGTCAAAGTATGTAGTATCTTAATTGTTATATGAATGGTTCTGTTTGACATAAAACTGCAGGTTGAAAGCTTTTTAAAGAAATTCTGTAGCCTTGGACATTTAGGGACTAGTTTTGTTCTCTTGTAATCATACTCCACCACGGTGTCTGTTGCTGAAACTAGCTTTCATCTTGGTGGTATTAGTTAAAACTTACTTATGATTGGAGTCTGAGCAACAAAGCTAGTGTTAATGAATAAAGTTGTTGTAACAGTTCACTTGGTAAACTTTCTACCTCATTACAAGATACTGTTCGAAGTGAACTCATGTGATGTGTTGCAATGTGCCTTTATCTGCTTGTAGAGTGGAGGAGAAATTTCAAAGTGAAATAGTAAATGTGAAGGAGATCTTCGTTGCTCATTGTCAAAAGTGTCATTGTGCCTTGTATTCGAAAATGTACTTTCAATAAAAAATGGAAATAACATTGCAATGTATTCGCTTCACATTTTGCAGGCAGGTTCTTCATTGTAAGATATTGCTAAATGTTTCCACTGTATTTTCCAGGATAACTGAAAAGTGGATGAAACCACAGATTCAGAGCTCTATACCACTGCCATGACTGCAGCTGGAGCAGAATGGGACACAATAAGATAGAGGGCTACTTTGACCACTCTTGAATTAATACTCCAAAAGTACTTGTGCTTTTGAAAAGGACACAAAACTAATTCAAATTCAATGTTGTAAGTTGTACATCTAAACTTTGTGCAGTTCTAGTTACTTTTTTTCTATTCAACTGCAATTCAACTTGCACAAGACTTAGATCATCCCATTTATGCACTTGGTTTTCCATTAAAATGGGAGTGCTTTAGAAAGATACATGTACAAGGAGTCAGGTAAAGTGGTCTTCTAGCTGATACGCCAGAATGATTGTACAGTATTATTTCCTTGTCTCAAACCTAACAAAGTAATAGGGAGAAAACCTAAATGATCTAGGTATTATTTCCTTGTCTCAAACCTAACAAATAGGGAGAAAACCTAAATGATCTACTTGAACACAACTACAGCTACTCATTGCTTTTAAAGGTCAGAATGTAAAGTTTTATATTACTTGAGGCACTTCAAAGCAAGGAGCCTGCAAATGAAAGATGGGATTTTTAAAACTGACTAAAACAAATGTGGCAAAGAGGTTAAAACTGATAGAAGACCTTAGTTTTAGGAAACCAACTGGTAGGATTTACACAGATGTACTTTATATACATGTTCAAAGCACGATTCCTCAGCAAAGTGAGATATTTTAACATTAGCAGAAACTACTTTCATTCAACTGCAGCAAGTGGGGTGGGGGAGAATTACAACAACAGGGCCCCATGGTTTGTAGCTTGCTCTTAATTTAATATCTCTTTAGCCACAAGGCTAAGTGTAGAATTTGAAGTCTTAGGGAGAACCTTCCACTATTCAACTAACAGCATTTCCATGCAGTATGTTGTCCTTACAAAATGGCTACAATTTGATCAGCTTTCCCATGTTTTTTTTCCTGCTATATTTTCTCAAATTCCAACTTGCCAAATTTTTCATAAGCTACTGAAAGTTCACTATTTAAAAGCTGTTTTAGCCACTCTCCATCCTTAAATAGCTATTTGAATTATCTTTCTGGCCTCCTGACTGTAAGTCAAGAAAGAGGCACATGTGTCGGTCATCACAACCTTAAAGGAATTCTAGATTTCACTTGACAGAAAAGGCTGGCCTTAGGAGCCTTAAAGGACTAATGAATTTAATTGGCACCAGCCTTCTTGGACTTTGCCCACTTTCTTCAAATGTACAATGCAGATAAGCCTTAATCAAATTCCAATTTAGTTCATCCCCCTCACAAAAATGCAAATTATATACAATGTAAAACTCTGCATCTAACAGACCAGAGTGTAGTTTGCACATTAAATAATCCAGGCCTTAGGTAAAGGTTCCCCTTGACAATTTTTGTCCAGTCGTGTTCGACTCTAGGGGGCGGTGCTCATCCCCGATTCCAAGCCATAGAGCCAGCGTTTGTCCGAAGACAATCTTCCATGGTCACATGGCCCGTGCGACTTAGACACGGAACGCTGTTACCTTCCCATCGAGGGGGTCCCTATTTATCTACTTGCATTTTCATGCTTTCGAACCGCTAGGTTGGTGGGAGCTGGGACAAGTGATGGGAGCTCACTCCGTCGCGTGGATTCAATCATACGACTGCTTGGTCTTCTGCAGCACAGGCTTCTGCGGTTTAGCCCGCAGCGCCACCACGTCCCTGTAATCCAGGCCCTATTTCCAGCTATATACATGACTTCCATGTTTCAGTTGGATTCACTTTGAAACACTGTGGTAGCTCAGTTTGAACATGTTACTATAGCCCTACTTCCTAATATTTTATCTGCAACTTTTTTGCAGCCGTATAAGTGTGTTTAAATACAAAGGCAGATTAAACTGCATTGAAATGGTTCAATTAATTTATACATATACAGTTTCTTACGCCTTCAGATGTTCTTGGACTACAACTTCCAGAAATACTGGTCAGCACAGGCAGTGGGGTAAGGCTTCTGAGAATTTTCGTCCAAAAACATCTGAGGATTCAAACAACTTCCAGAAATACTGGTCAGCACAGCCAGTGGGGTAAGGCTTCTGGGAATTTTAGTCCAAAAACATCTGAGGATTCATGATTGGGAACCACTGATTTAGAGACTTCCTTTTATCAAATGAAACAACCAAGAGAAAATGCAGTATTGTTGCTACTAATGGTGGTGGCGATTTAAACATTTTCCTTCCCACTGATAAGCTGCTAAAATATCAGCCCCCTTTAAGTGTTTTTCTCCCTTTTTGGTACAAGATTCAGTTTCTATCTCAGATCTTAGTAGCTGAAATAACAGCTTTGAGTTCTTGAGAAATAACTCCACACAGGTGAATAATGTAAAGCAAATATCAAAACTGATAAACACACTTTTTTACAACTGTAAATATTGAGATTTCTTTCCGTTTCTTTCCAGTCAATTAAATGTATCTAAGAATAATTACACAACCATTATGGATGTAAGAATACACATGCACACAAAAAATAGGAAGGAAATCAAAGTACAACTGAAATGTATTAAACTCATTCTATATACATACAAATACAAGAAGAACCTGAGTTACACAGCTGTGCTTAAGTTATATTGGGTTTTTTTTTTAAAGGCATAACATTGTAGCACTTTAACAGTGTTTTTTGTGGACCAAAATGTACTTCACAGAAACAAATGGAAATACACAGTGATTATATTTATGTTCATCTTGATGGCCAGGTGAAGACAGAGATAACATGTGGGGAATGGGTGAGTGCGCAGAGGAGGCGGGAGGGGAAAATGTGTGGGCTTGGTGCTAAACCAACACAAACCTCTGAACCGAGGTTAATGCCCATCTCTAGTCTTGGTCCTGAGAAGGTGCAGGCCAGCCAGACTTGGCTGTCACAGGAACATTAAGGTATGTTCTTAGGATAGAGACCAGAGTCAGTCAAGGGAAATAAAAGAGTTTTATACCTGTAAGATATTAAATCTGGGTGATTAATATAGGCAGTTTGCTAAGTGATCTATACTGAGGTGCTTAGATAGGTACCCAAACTTGTTTATGTAGCTAAGTTCTCCTATCTCCCTTTTAAGTTTCCCTTCATAATTCTGTTTTTCAACAACAGCCATACTGAAATCCATAACCTAACTTAATTAATAGCCTGAAAGTCCCATTCCTGGGTTATCAAGCCCTTATCTGTTATCTGTATCTTCACCTGGTCATCTGAGAAAGTGGATTATGATTCATGAAAGCTGAAACCAAAAACAGGACAGTTAGTTTTAAAAATGCTGAAATATTTTGCCTTTTCTTTTGCCAACATGCTGAAACACTAACATGGCTACTTCTTTGGAACTGACTCAATTATAACTTATTTTGTAACTGCACAGGAATTATGGTATTCTGAGTCTGACAACCAAACTTTAAAGATCAGGTAATAATTTAACAGATTTACATGTACAAATAGAAGCAAAGGATCACAAATGTGCGTGCACATTAGAACCTGATCACTGTTTTTCAAAGTGGGCAGGAGGGGGGGGGAGGTAAATATAAAGTAGAGATGGGCACGAACCTTGATTCTGAGATTCATGCCAGTTGGTATTCTTCCCCCACTCACCAGTCAGCACGTGTTTCCTCCTCTTTGGATGTTCAACCAGTCTCCAGCAGCACAGGCTTCCCTCCCTGCCTCCTTGGCTGATCACCCACTGGGACAAGGAGGAGTGTGCACTGGTTGGTGAGTGGGTCATTGGCCGGGAAGGTGGAGGAAGGGAATGTGGCAAACATGCAAACTGGCACAAGTCTCTGAACTTAGGTTTGTGCCCATCTCTAATATAAAGCTATGTGGGGAACTGCTTCCAAAACTTTCCATGTGTTAAAAAGCAGTTTGTAACATAGTACTGAGGGTGGCATTCTGTGGTTGAGAGAACAAAGGGTGTTGGCTGTGTCTGAAGCCCCAGGCATCCAGAACCAAACTGGTTTAAACATATCCATGGACTTGAACAAGTGATCCAACACAAGCCTTTAATTGAATTGAAGGCCCTGGGAATATAGGCAACCCAGCGCCAACTAGCTGTCTTAGCTTACATCTCCCCAAAGTGCTAGCAGGCATGACCAATTTTATAAGATAAAGGAAACTATGGCCCAAAATATGTGGAGGGCACTAGCCCTACAATAGGGCTAAGGAATGGGCAGGCCTTCAATTAGTTGATTGCAACTCCCATCAGCATAAACTAGGAGAGGCAATACCCCTTCTCATTCAGAATCGAATTACAGGTAAGTTTGGCACAAACCATAGGCACCATCCCTCACACTTCAGCGTTATTGGATCTAGGAGTACAATTTTTGTCTGTTCTAAATTATCCAACTGTTTATGGAACAGCGCAGGACATCTAAAATGGACAACACTATGATTTCAAAATACATTGTACCATCCTGACCCAAGTGACATGCAGGAAAATGTAAGTAATGGAATCTTCTTCCAAAGACGTAGGCAGCCAGCAGTTCTCAAAATAAATTATTGCTAGTATAACAAAACACAGTTAAGTTTTATGCTGGCTGTTTCAAGCAGTAACAATGATTTTATATATAGGTCTGGTGTTAATTTTTTCATTACTATTTTAGCACAACTTAAATAAAAACCTTTATTATTTGATCATTCCAAGCTTTTCAGAAAAAGCAGTAAGCCATTCCAAAGATAAGTCACCAATGAGTTATCTATCAGATTCCTTCATACTACTTTTGCTTTAGTTTAAAAAAATGCAGCTAAAAAGCACAGCTATCTCTCAAGACTTGAGAAGTCTGGTCCTCCTTTGCTGTAGTTTCCAGAAATTTCTGCTCCACTAAAGTCAAATCCAGGGTTCTGCAAAAGAAGTTATCAGATTCAATTTATATTTGTTTTAAGTACATCTGTTAAGTTAGCCTTCAAGGATGCTTCACTCTTTTCCAAATCAACAGAGAACGCATCATGCAGTTTCATATACAGTGGTGCCTCGCTTAGTTAATCCGTGCAGCAAAAATTGCTGCTATGCGATTTCATCGCTAAGCGATTTTTAAAAGCCCATAGAAACACATTAAAATGTGTTTAATGCGTTCCTATGGGCTTAAAAACTCACCTTATGTGAAAATCCTCCATGGGGCGGCCATTTTGGTGCCTCTAAAGTGAGGCAAAACAAGGGGTGGCCATTTTGGAACCACCGATCAGCTGTGCGAAAATGGGGCCTTTGGGATGATTGCG